CCTCCAGTGGCCATAAATTCACCCTGCTTTGGTCATTGGATAGCCATTTCTGGAGCCGTTCTCCAGTTCTCCCCGGCATTATGAATTGATTGCTTGCAGGTGCTGGCCCGACCACACCGACCGTACAAATATCAATAACTATCTAAGGCAAATCCCCTCGATTCCAACTCGCCCACACACACACGGTAAGCTATTTTTCATTTTCACCGCCCAACTCTTTACCCTTTGGGTGTGTACATTTTATACATCAAATAGCTACATACACACTTTACGTGCTGGCTGGTTGGGTTATATTTTGTTTTTAACCAATTCTCTCTCTTTTTGTGCATCATCAAAACTTACTAAATTAAAATGGTCAGCGAGGCGTTTTTTGTTTCGCTGGCATTTATTTTCAATTTGTGCGGCATGCTTTTAGGCGCTGGCACCCTCTTCCCTTTTTTTTCTGCTTACCATTTAGTTTTTGTTTAGCCACAATTTTGGATTGAGAGTTTTGCTTTTATTTTTTTTTTGCGTTATTGTATCTGTACTTTCATTTCTGGGTGCTTTGTGTGTTTGGAATATTGATTAAATGGAATGTGAGTAGAAACAATTGCAGAGGGGCACAGGGGCTCATTGCATTACGGCCTGATTGCACAAATAAAAGCTTTGGCAATTGCCCTAGCAAAAGGTTAAATTCCGGCAATTTATTAACACACACGTGGGGAACATTTGTTTGGCGATGAAAGGGAGCAAAGCAATTTGTTCGTCTGCTGGCTTCGGTTAATTGAAGCAAGAATTCGTTGGGTTTAAAGGAGCGAAACATTAGCTTAATCATCCGCCCTACCAGAAAAGGACCTCCATTCACGCTTACCGCTAAGCCTTGCCGCCGGAAAATGCTCGCTTTTCCGCCTCTGCCGTCTCGGGTGCTCCATTAAAAATGCATTTATCATTTGGCGTTTTGAAAAACCTTCCTTCCTTTCAGGCGGTCTGATGGCAGGAGACTGACACCTTGTATCAGGATGCTCATTCTCATCCTCATCCCCATCCTTTCCATTCCCAAGCACTTTAAGTTGTTTGTTTTCCCGAAACCGAGCACAAATTGTATTTGGCTGCCGCCCGGACGGAAAACTTTCCCTTTGCCGGAGAAATATGCTCGACTTTAGTTTTTGGGGGCGAAAGTGAAAAGGGCCAACGCCATGCAACTTGGGACCTGTTCGAGCGCTAAACTGTTATTTCCACATGCTGAACCAGGATCTGAGCTGGGATCTTGACTCGCAGCGGGGAAACAGGTCGCCAATCTGGCTCCAGCTGGCCATCGATGTCGGGTTTTAGCCAAGCCAAACAGCCGAGACAAAGGCATTCCCAAAGTGTTCATAAAAACCCGGACTGCCTCTTCATTCCCCGGCCAGTTAACTAGGTCAGCCGTGCACTAGAAAAAATTGGGACAGCCTTCTAGTTAGCTAAGAAAAATTAGTTAAGGAAAACAAATGCCTACAATACATTTGGGGCCGATTTCTCAATGTCACGCTATCATTCGTCATTGAGTTAAGTGTAAAAGTGTTTTTTCTCAATAACATGTTGGGTTTTATATGATGGAAAACTCTTAACTTGAAACCATGTTTTAGTTAAATACATTTAAGTTAAATAACTTTTTCCGACAGATACAAAAATATTCCCCTAACAATACATTTCAAGACCTATGTTTTTAAGAGTTACTCTCTTATCTCGAAATAGTTTTAAATTAACATGTAAGAATTATTGGAAAAGCCATTATATATATTCTGTGTCCCTGCAAAAAAATAAAAATTTACATATAATTCACAAAAACATTAAACTCTTTTTAAGATGTCCTATTTTTATATTGTTTTATGGTTTGATTAAATTATATTTTCGTGTATTTATTCCAAGTCATTTGCTCTAAGAAGGATTTTTTCATTAATTAGAATTACTTTTTACATCTATCTTAGTTAAAGTACATTTTCAATATCTAATTTTCCTAAGTGTAGCCACACACACCCTTGCCACATTGTAAACTGGCGAAAAAGCCAGGTAAAAGTTGCCGCCACATGGGCAGGTGAGTGAGAGTGAGAGTTCGGGGTTTCCCATTCATGTTTAGCCGCAATGCAGCGCCTGCATAAATTTCATTAGATTTTAGCTCAGTGCCCACTCTCGATTTCCCGTCGAGAAGCCCCCTTCTGTTCTATAACAAATCAATTGGCCTTCACCCCGGCTCCATAAAAGATAGAGAGAGAGAGGGGGGGGATAGAATCGAGGGAATATATATATGTATTCAGATATATATGGCAAGTGGGCGGGCGGAAGGCATCTGAAGCACACACTCGTAAATGGCTTCCTAATGAAGTCATAAAGTGCCCGGCGGAGGCAACTAGATGTCCGCCATTAAACGCACCTTGAGCCGCGGCCAAAGCCGCTGCGAAGTATGCTAATAAACGTAAACCGAGCTCCATTACCAACGGAAGTTGAAGTCGTAAAAATAAAAATAACCGAGAACCGAATGATGAGTGCCGGGAGCGATTTGCAGCAGCTTCTCAGCCGCCAGAGGTAATTCCCGATGAGCTGATAATCTCAGAAGTGGCAACTAAACTTTTTCAGACCAACTAAAAGTTCAGGTTTTAAAGAAAATATAGATAAAGCTGATGGCGAGCCCCAGGAGGTTAGAATAGCAGAGAATGTTATTGCCTTTTATAAAAATTTAACATTGAGGTTCACTGATATTATGGATGTACGGATATAACCTCTTCTCTAAGTCCTTTTGACTTAGGAAGCATTAATTTCCTAATATAAGCATAACAACTTACTTTTAAAGTATAAATATTCTATGGTCTTGCCTTCATCTCAAAACCCCTTTGCCAAAAATGCTTCTTTTTCAAAAAGATTTATTTCCTTATACAAACATTCGAATTTACATTTTAAAAATTCTTTTACCCGAAGTTCCTTGGCTACTAGCATTAATTTTCTAATGGCTTGTCCTATATTTTGTAAGCATTTCTCTGCCACGTAGGAGAACCCGATTCGTTAAAAATGTAGGCCAAAAATGCTGAAAGCCTCGTTGCTTTAGCACTTCGGCCCAATAAACTCTATCCCACCTTTTAGACCTTACCTCAGGGGCATTAAAAGCAAAGACTTTCAAGTGGCATTTGCCTCTTGGGGCGGGACACCTTTTTCACCGGGGTTTTCATTCAGTGTGTGTGTTCTTGTGGAGCCCCGAGTGGAAAAGAGAGACAAAAGAAAAGTGCGGTCAAAGGCATAATGCAAAAGGAAAACCGCGAAAACCCGACTCACACTCAGCCAGTGAAAACACATATTGAACATGCGAGCAAGCTTTACGTGCTGACAATGATAATGACTTTGGTCCTTGGACCGAGGCGAAAAAAAGGGGGACTTGGACTGGTAGTGGTACTGAAATGGAACTGTCTCCGTGGGAAGTGCATCGAAAACGCTTTACACGCTAATGCACCATTATCAGGAGTCCCAGGACCCGTAAATCTTCACTTGCATCTGGGGACTTCAAGGGCTTTAATAGATATTTATTCGAGGGGTTCATGACGGGTCCAAACATTTGCTCCACTTCCAGATCCTCGGCCATAACTTTGATAAATTGCAGCCAACGCCTGGCCGGAAAAGCGCCAAAGCTTTAAGTTCAAGTGCTTAAACGGAAACGGAAAAGTGAAAAGCGAACAGTGAACGTTGAACGTTGAACGGTGAGCCAAGGCAAAACAAATTGTGGCGAAACAAAAACTGCAAACTACATGAACAATTTGGCATGCAATGCGAGAGGAAAGCGTCCAAAAAAAAAAAGTAATAAAAGGGAAAAATGGAAGGCGAGGGACATCGTCTAGTATTTTTTTATTCAGCCCAGCTTGTTGCATTTTTTTCGCCCGAGGTTCAGGAAGCCTTAAAAAGCGAGCAGAGCTTCAAATTTATGTGCTGCGGAAGTGGTGACTTTTAGTTTTTCCCTCGCCAGGTGTCAGACATGCGAATGGAAAGCGGTCGAAATGGGTATAAATGCGGGGGTGGTGACCAACCAGTTAAATGCCAAATCCACCAGCTGCCAGATGGAAGAAAAGTCGATTTCCCGCTTCTGCCATCCCGCCAACTCTCATGCATTTCAATCAAATGAAGTCGCATAAAATAATGGAATGGCGGTGCAGTGGAGAGTGCTAATCGGATTGCAAAACAGAGGGGCTCTGTCCCGCGGCTAATGAATATCATTCAGCCATTCAATCGGTGTGGCACTTTTAATTAACTATCTGGTATCAGTTCGCTGAAGCTCTTTGCCCCTGCAAAGAAAACACGTGTTTAACACCCCGGTTGGCACTGAGTGGCAGTTGGCTTTTATGATACTATGTTCAGCAACAGCATCCACTTAGAAAACGGGGGTCCCTACAGCACCCATTGCAGCGGGTCGGTTAATGACCCGAACGCCACTCGATTGGCCATTAAATAGCAATCCTAAACAAGCCATAAAGTTTATGCAGAAATAAAATTAAATTAAACGAGCTCAGCCCTATCAAGTTGTCCTAATCAAGTTGTTTACGCCCATCGGGGGCGACGGAAGTGGGGATTGCGATAATGAAGAGCATTGCATCATTTCGCTTCGATTTTATCCACTTAAAGGGCTTTTACCTATACCGGATATAGGAATAACTGCTGCTGACATTTTTACTATCATTTTCCCCTTCGCTGCAGATAAGTGTACTCAGGAAAATAAAAAATACATTTAAAAGGGTAAATAAATTGAATCCAGTGCAGCCTTTACTTTTTATTTAGCATTTTAACTCCAAAAACAAATAAATATTAAATAAATTCTGAAAAATAATAAGCAAAGGTCTTTACATTATATCCAAATGCTTCGTAATACCTATATAGAAAAATTTGAATATGTTTTAATGTTCAGTGTGTCCATTGATAAAAACTATATTTAATTTAAATGTTCCATTTATTATTTGAAAGTTTTTGAATGAAATTAATTTGATAGTTATCTTTTATTATTGGAACTTATCAAAATTTTATACTGCAATTAATCAATTCATGGTGCTTTGAAAAGCTTTAAGCAAATTGAAATATGTTCATTCATTTTTCTGAATAAATAAAAATCTATACAAAATCCTTTCGTAAAATCCTAACAAATATTTTTCAAAGCATCGACAGTTATTTTTCGAATATTTAAGAAACATTTTCGCAGTGTTGCTATTTTTGCCCGGTTGCTATGCAGGTAATTGCACCGCCATCGATACTTCCTGCCAAGCCCGCCAAGGACCTCGGGCCTGGTTCGTCACAGGAAATTGGCAGAAATTCCATTCCGATGGAGTTGTTTGAATTTTGCATGGCCCGGTGGATGGATGGTATTTATGGCCAGGTTTTCGGACAAACATGGATAAACAAGATGCGTTAATGTGGCTTTCGGTGGAGCCAAAAATTCAGCGGAAGAGCTCCGTGGGCGAGCACAAGGACGAGTGCTTCTTGTTGCGACCCGTCTGACATCCTACGGGCCGGAAGCGGTAGATCGGCTGTCCGCAAACCGGACTCCGGGCGTAGTTGCAGGTCAGCTTGAACTGGGTCAGGTTCTTGACCACGTAGCGCAGTCCGGCGCAGCCCACGTGCGAGTTGCCCTCGATGGCCATGACCGCAAAGTGGCGGTACGCTCTATGGAATGGAGAATGAAGTGGGCTCGGCTTACGGATCCCCAAAGGAGGCCTTGTAATGCAGTTAACTTACTTTTGCAGTTTCTCATCGCATGGATACAGCTCCATGTTCGCGGCGGTCATTCTCTCGGACTCTGACCACCAGGTGTTCATGGCAATGGACACGAGTTCGGGGTAGAGCATCTCCATCACTGGCTTCTCCACGCGGCGTGTCATGTTGAACACTATGATATTTTGGCCGGATCGTGGAAACCTATCCGTATTTCGACACTCGTCATGCTTGGCCTGGCACATCCTCACATTGAATCCTGCCACGGCGGCCAGGTCCTCGTCCCATTGCATGGCCACCATTCGAGCGGCATGTGGCAGGGTTGAGTCCTTTCCACTGGCTAATAGATACCTTCGCTCATTGTGGTTTTTAAGGATATTATCCGCAAGGATGGTCAAGTTCACAAAGGTAATCTCCTTGGCGGCACAGGTGCGGTGAAGGCTCTGTGAAGGATATATGGGATGATGTATAGGAATTATTATCATCTAAATAACTAAGGATCCTATAAGGTATAATTATGGTTATTCCACAACCCAATCTTCTAGATATTAGAACCCTCAGAAAAGTGCATAGAAATATTAATCTCAATCTAACAAAGCTCTAAAAAATTAAATAATATGTAACTCGTCTTAAAGAGATATAAGATATCTGTTAGTTTGTAATCTTAACTTTAACACAGCCTTACAAAATAATAATGATAGTTATGGTATAGGACTTACACTAAACCTTACCTTATAATAGTTTTCGCAGGCCACATGGTGTTGTCCTTTGAGGCACAACTTGGGCTGGCAATAAGGACTCGGCGGCTTAGGAGTCGTTTTCAATATCGTTCTGGTTCCCTCGGTGATCACATCTTCCGGATTTACCGATATCTGACTTGTGGCCCCCAACAATCTGGCGACCAAACAGATCAGCACTATAGAAATCTTCATGGTGGATGGCTTGGCAAAAGCGGACTGTATTGCAAGCCATTGGCAATTCTGGCTTATAAAGCCCAATCAGGTACAAAAAACAGCTGAAAGTTGTTTTTTCCATTAGCCTTATCGATATCTGTTCGCGAGTCGCCAGTTAATTGACACAGATATTTTATAAACACAAATTTATGCAGTGAAAAACAGTGCTGCAATTTTTTTGAAGCTGAAGTGGTAAGTGCTAAAGTATGTCATGGGTTCGCCATCTACTAGGCTAAAATGGAGATTTAAAAAAATAGTAATTCCTTTTACAATCAGTTGAATAGTGATGTGGAACCACTTGTAGCCCTTTTCGTTTTTTTTTTTTGGTTATCCATTTTTTTAATTGTTGCTTGCTGCACTGGCACCAAAATCTAATTGTCACTGACATGGGAAAAAAAGACAGCCATAGAGCCGCCGAAAGGGACGGCAATAGCGACAGAAAAAGAGACAGCGACAGGCTTTGCCACTTCCCATTGTCAGTCAGTGGGCCACAAAATTGGCCGCGAAAAGTTGTAGCAAACATTCTGTTACCAAAAATGGCTGTCATCATCGTTGTCGCGTTTAACAGCTGAGTGCCTTCAGACTGAGACTCACTTTCGTTGGCTTTAACACTGGAAAAAAAAGGGTGTATAAATCATGATTTAAGAGAGGAGGAAATATTTAAGGGTTTTTCTATGGGACAGATTTTTAAAACGATTTTTAACAATATTGTTAGCAACCGCTTATCCTAGCTAAATAAATACTAAAAACTAAGATTATTACATAGTTTATCGTGGATATTATTAATAAGGGTCACAATATATCAATTTACGATCCTAATTTCTTTGCAAATATCAACTTTATCATGGCAATCAAAGTACATTCCTAGTACTACCATACTTTCTCTTTTAAATTCAATATCTCCTGTGTCTATAACCCACATTTTTTTCCAGTGAACCGGATGTCAATGCCAATCGCATTAGAGAACATTAAATGCTATTTGGGGGTACCCACACTCGTAGAGACTTTACCAAAAACACACACCCCCGCCGCCTATTCTCCTTTCCACCATAAAAGCCTAATAACTCAATATCGCTCAATTGATTAAGGCCAAAGACGCTTTTGCCGGCTTGCCAGCTGAGTCGCCTTAGTCGCTAATTGTCTGACAACTGGGGCCCCAGTTGATTTGCGTGTAATTGGCTCGACATTGAAGTTCCCGGCAACTTACAAGGGACTTAATTAGCCCACCGAGGCGTGGACTTAAAGCCACCGCTTTCTGGCCTTCAAGATGAAGGCCCGAATTATGCGCAAAGACTCATACCATTTCCATTTCACCCAAAAAAAAATTATATAAGGCGCGCGTGCACATGTCAAGTGGGCAACTCTGGACGTCTGTCTTGTTTAGTAGGTTGTAAATTTTAATGCAAAAGAGCCACATTTTTTGTGATTTATCGCTTTGGGCCAAAGCAGCTTGAGGAGCCCCGAACCGCCGGGGCCAAATCCATGTGAAAAGGGCATGCATTAAACAGCAGACAGGGGGCCAGCCTCTGGCCGGAAGTCCTTCAGCCAGGACTCCTAGATGTGGCCAGCACGCGTGCACCTGTTGCCCCATCCTGCCGCCCATCCTCCTCCTTCTTTTGGCCACAAAGTCAGTTTGTTTTGCGGAAATTTATGGCCTCGAACGGCGGTGGCCAAGGCAAATACAATTCTTGTGCCCCGGGCCCCGTGTCTATAATTTATTTTTAATAGAGAGACAACTTTCTTTTGCGGGCTGCCCCATAAATTTGTGCGGTATCAAAGAAAGCAGAAGTTGGGGATCGGCGGTGGAATTAATATGCAAGCGTTTTGCATTTAAAATGTCATTATCGGTGGGTAGACGACTAAAGCCTTTGTGTTTCTGCTATCTATATATGGCTATATCCCCCGGTATGTATACACACGTACTGTATAGCTGGTATCTGGACAATACATCCGGCTCTGCTGTCAGAATTGTGCAATTGAATAATCAAATTGAATGGCCACAATTGTCCGTGTGTGTGGGTATCCGAGTTGATTTATTGGCCAGGCCAAAGCCGCAGTCGGGTTTTGGCCATAACTCAAAGCGAGCTACTTGGACCACAAATATTTGCTAATGAAAATTTGGGGAGTGGCCAGCAGGGGGCGTTAAGGATGTTTGAGGTTTTTTGGGGGAAGGAGGGGGTGAATCTCGAGATCCAGAACCGTGTCAAAGGGTTGCCAGCCATCAATATGCGCATAAAGTTCAATATTTCCTCGCTCAATGCCCCGAATCCTGCTAACAATAATCCCTAATTTTATGCAAATCTCGTCAAAGTACTCGGCTCTCTCTCGTTTTTCAATCCCCCGCGCTTCCCACAACTCAACAGCTTAGCTGGGAAAATCCTCTGCCCAAGACTTTTCCAGCCGGGTTGGGGGTGAAAACTTTTTAAGCGCCAGCGTGGAAAACTTGTCCGTGTCTTGCATGCCAAGGAAAATGTGTCGAACCCCCGCATTTGGGTTGGCAATCGTAAACATAAAAGGGAATCCGCCCTTCTTATCAACCGAATTTAAGTTAATTAAGCTGCTACACTTCTGATCTAGCGCACAAATCGCGAAACAAAACCCAAGTCTGTCTGGGGAATTTCACTTTACTTTGGCCGTCGAAGGCCGTAAACCATTTTCCGAGGCCAACGCCGAAGGGCAGTGGCGAAAAACTAGAACTTATTCATTTGCATTGCGTCAACTCATAAAAAATTAAAGGTCCTGCTTAAAAACACGAACTGCGAATGACCTTTATTGAAAGTGCAAAGTTCCCTTAATAATTCATGAGGTGTTTACACAGTAAGTGCTTCTTTTAGTTTGGACCACCGCTGAACTAATGTAAAACAATGTGCAAAGTGGCAAATAATTGATTCACAATATCATTTGTTATGGATTTCAATTATTTGCATGATGGCGGAAAAGTTGATTTAAGTTTTTATACACAACCACTGTTTTTATATTGTAAAAAATTGAACATATAAAAATATTAAACACATTTTTTTGAATTAACTGCATTTGTGGCTAACAAAACAAAATACAAAATTTACTAAAAATGTTTCACATGCAAAAACGATTTATAAGAAATTTCTATAAGCTGAATTAATTAAAAACAAATATTTTAATAATTAAATTTCTATTGTGTTTGAAGAAAATAACTGAATTATCATAGATGACTAATAAAAACTATGTACACCTACGACCCCCAACAAAATGCGAGGCTGCTTAAAATGTAAAACAAACTGTGGCATAAAAAGTATCTCAGGATCACCGCAGCCCATCTTCCCCTAGGGTATAATTATGCCAACGTTTTATTATGTAGATACGTGTGACTGTGTGTCCATACAAGTTTTTTAATTCTTTCGAGTCCGCGCATTTTTTAAAGCCCTGCAAAAATATGCAAAAATTTGTGTGTGTGTTTCTGCTTTCTTTTTGCCCAGAATGGGGCTGTGATGGTGTTGGTGTGCATTGTGTTCACACATAAATTTTAGGCAAACACTGGCAACACACACATGTGCACATTCGCTGGTTTATTTGGGTTAAGGCCATCAGCAAAAAAAAGGAGGAAAAACTAGGGGGGAACCCAAAGGCAGCCACCACAACGGGCAAATCTCAGAATTAAATGCAATTTAGTGCAGCAAAGTGGCAACCCGCAACAACACAAAACAAACTGACACAATCACATTTGGTTGGCCTGGCTGAAATGTTGAAAAATGCGAAGAACTTTTCCACTTTCCCAGGCATTCGAATCATGGCCGAAATACGCATTCAAAATTACCCAATTCATTTCTGGCATAACATGTCAATCTGTATTTGCCAAAGGTTCTTGGGGGTGAAAAGGTAGAAAATGCTGGAAAAATGCTGGGGAATGCTGAAAAATGTGGAAAAGGCTTGAGAGTTTTGGCCAACTCGGAGCGACAAGCAAACAAAATGCCCCAGCTTAGACGCCACTTACGAATGCCATTAGGCCTGGTTCAAATGCAAAACCAAGGAGAAACATGGGCAAAAAATAAGGACCCATATATCGAATCCAACGCCAAGGAAAAAGTGCTGTAAGCCTGTAGATTTCTATAACAATGTTGAATTTCAGAACACGGCATTTGATGTTGTTTTCACATTTGAATGTTAAGTGGCCGCTTTGTCAAGGCTCAGACCCGGGGATTTGGCGAACCCTTCCTGCCCTCGGTAATCTTTCTCCATCATCCGTCTTCATCTCTATCTTTCACTCGCAATCAAATGGGGTGATGGACGGGGAAATCGGGGGCAAGACGTACAAATTGAAAATGCAAATCTTTGGCACAGCTCAAAAGTGCAAAACAAACAGCCAACTGGTCGGGCAACAAATACAACTAAAGATACAAGGACGAGAAGGAGATTTGAAGTCGAGCTGAAAGTGCATAAATTGTTGCGTACTTTGCAGCGCCGTAATAATTGCAAAGCGCTTGTAAGCACCTGGCTAAAACTTCTTGGCAAGAGTTTTCGCCCTCACTGATGAGCTGTGCAAATTTGTTGGACCAGCTTGGGCGCTAATTGGCTAAATAAGATGTCTTAACATCGTCCGCTTAGGGGCAAAGAATATTGCGTATACGCCAAGTGGGGGAGAAGTGACTGGTCAGCAGTCTCTAAAGATTAGGAAAATTGTTTATAGCACATTTCTGTTATTTTAATTAGTTCTTGTGTAAGACAGATTATCCGAGACTTTTTCTTTAACACATATATTGCAGACACTTTATCGGATTAAATTAATTTTAAGGATATTTCGTGTTTTATTTTGCAGTTTCCTTGCTTGATTTAGTTACTGAATTACAAATCAAATTTACTTTAAGGAGCTCTTTGTTTTTCCCCTAGGAAAACTTAACATTCCATTTTTACAACCTCTTAAAATTGCCTAACAAAGTGTTTATTTTTACAGAACGTAAGTACCTCTTAAAATGGCTTTTATTTCCTCTATGAAAATTTTCAATGACTTCATTTTGTTTGCCTAGAAAAAACACTTT